AATTTTAAAGCATCAGAAATAATAGAATATGACAGCATACAACACACAGATTTTTTACCAAAAAAATCACGTGCCGGTGATTATTGTCTTCCTCTCCCTTGTTAAGGTTAACGTGCCATTACCACACATTTCTGCCATTACCGCGTATCTCTCATCAGGGGCTTTTTACTCAGTATCACAGGTCAAGTCAACGGTAACTATAGCAAAATGCATCGGCGTTAGACAGAGAAGGGGTGAAGCAGCATCAGCAAACACATCTGTCCCTCGGTGTTTGCAAGCACGGGCTTACTTAGCAAGCACGGCTCTCCTCTTCCTTTCTTACACCCAGGACTATTGCTCAGCAAATACAACTTGCGACCGACACGGCGGAAAACCGCAGGCAGGGGCACGGCGCGCGGTGCGCCCAAGAGCGCAAGGCTGCACCAGGTCTCGGGCTTCCCCCCTCCTCCTTTCCCCGCAGTGACCCCTCCGCTGGCACAACGCCGGCGGCATCCCTCCCCGCCTGCCCGCGGAGCCGTGTTGTGTCTGAGGCGCAGGCCCCATGTGACAAGCGCGCAGGTGCCGGGGGGCGGCGGGGGGCGGCTGACCCAGACACGCGCGCGCACACCTGGCACACCCTCCGCAAGTTGGGGGGGGGGGAGGAGGAAGAGGGAACGCGCGCGCGCCCGGGGGTGCGTCCCCCTTCCACCTCCCCCCTCCGCGGCGCCAGCACCGCGCGGGCGGGCAAGGCCCCCGCGCCTGTTACATAACCCCGTGCGCCACACTGCACCCCTCCCTTTACACACACACGCAACCACCACACACACACACACACACACACACACACACACGAAAACAACCCCTCCCGCACTCGGTCCCGCCGAGCCCCGCACTGAGGGCAGAGCTGCGGCGGGGAGAACGGGCAGGCCCAGGCCGCGGGCCCAGGGAGGGGCTGAAGCAGGGCAGCGGCTGCGAGCCCCGCCACTCCGCGTTCCCCGCTCCTTCCTTTCTTCCTCCCCTCTTCCTCAAGCCGCCCCTCGCACGCGCGCGCGAAGGCGCGCTCGCGACCGCTGGGCGGCCACCATGAGGGGCCGGAGCCACAGCGCCGTGAGGGGGAAGGCAGCAGCCCCCAGCCGCAGCTCACCTTTCCTCGCGTCCCAGACGCACATTCCCGGGGCGCTGCCACCGCCGTCGTCTGCCCTACCGGTCCGTGCGGGGGCTTCACATCGCGGCTCCCCCCGGCACGGACAGACGCACGCAACCACCGCCTCCTGCCCGCCTTCTTCCTTCTCCTCCTTCTCCTCCTCCTCCCCGGCTCTCAGCCCGACCGCGCTCTCCCTCCTCTCTCCGTTCCCTCCTTCCTTCCTCTCACCCCTCCTCCCCCTCTCGGTGTCCTCGGCAGCAGCAGCCCCGCCTCCTATCCCCCCCCTTCCCGCCTGTCCTTCCTGCGAGCTCGTCACAAGAGAGTCTCGCGCCACCAACCGCCGCTCGGTCAACAAACGGCGCGCGCCGGGCAGGCCCGCCGGCCCGCCCCCCGGGGTGGGGGCGCCCCCTAGCGGCTCGCGCCCCGCCCCCTCCCCACCCGGAAAGTCGCGTGCGGCGCCGTAGCTCGAGAGGGGCCGGGGGAAGCTCTCACGCTAGGCACGTGACGGCGGGGAGGGGAGGGGCTGGCGCGAGCAGCTTCGCGCGCCTCTCCCGCCTCTTTTTCCCCGCCAGAGCTTGGGTGGGCTGCGGGCGGGCGCGGGGTGGCGGCGCCTCCTGGCGGTCGGATGGGTGCGCCGCAAGTGCGGGGGCTGCTGCTGGTACTGCTGCAGCAGCGGCGGCAGTGGTGCGTGCAGGCGTTTCACACCGGGATGGGATGTGATGGGAGCGGATCCCTGTGCCGAGGGCGGCACGCAGCCATCGGCCGGACGGCTGGCTGCGCCCTCAGTGCCGACGCCTCTCCCGTGAGCGCAGCAGGCGGCGGGCAGGACCCCGTGCGAGCGGGCGGGCGGTGGCCTGCGGGTAGGCGACTGACAGGTGTGCTGCCCCCGGCATTGGCACAGCCCGCCTGCCTTCCGATGTGGGGGGGCACCACCGCGCCCATTCCACCTGCTGTTGCCGCTGCTCAGGGAAGAAGTGGGCGGGGAACGCCCGCGTTGGGTTGTGGCGGGGTTCGACCCCTAAGGACCCTACCCAGCCCAGCTCCGGGTCTGCTAGGTCTTCCGGAGGAGCCACTCTAGGCCGCTCCTGAGACGTCCCTCTCTGGAGCGGGGCGCTGAGAGGGGAGGGAAGGTGGCCCAGGGCTGCCCCTGCTCCGGCTGGGCCCTGGTGGCTCAAGTAGGGCTGAACCTCATTCGCTAGCCTCGCACTAGAAAATGTTTCTCCCACAGGGAAAATCTGCTTATTCACCTCACTTGGAATAACAAGGGAAGTGCAACAGTGATGCCTTCTTTCCCCTGGTAACTTTGAAGTTCAGTGGCTGTTTCAGCCCAGTTTGGTGAGGAATCTCAGCCTCAACAATACAAAGCTATAAAAGTTTTATTAGAAAGAAGAGCAGTGAGGTAGCGTGAGAATCCAAGATAACTAACTTGCTGAGCTGTCTTGCCAGCCAGCACACTCCTGTGCCAAACCAGCCATGGTGTAGACCCTTTTCCAGTTCTTCCCTAGTTACAGCTCATGGGAGAGCACTGGGGTGAAGTGTGTGGGGAAGGTCAGAAGAAGGAAGGACCAGCTGTAGGGGCAGGCATGTGGTATGTGGGGGTCCTTGTACGGGAAAGTGGTCATTACCATGGTATGGGAACGTAAGGGAAATAAGACACAAATCTTAGGAACCCAGGCCGTATTGTGCTACTTACAGAAAAATTGTTTGTTACAGGGTTACCTCTTCTATTATATGCCATTTTTCTTTTTTTTTTTTTTCTTAATAAATAAAAAAATATCCCCAGTCCTATAACTGTTTCCACTTGGATAGATTTGCTGTGAGTTCCCTTTGAATACTGGGCAAAACTCATGTCAGGCTGGAAGCTCATCCGTCTACACACAGGGACTCAGTTCCAGGGATGAAGCCGTACGTGTCTCTCTGAGAAAAGTGCTTACATGGAGCCTTCTTTTCTCCACTTGCACTGAACAGTCCTCCTGTTCTGTGAAAAATGTTACAGTTTCAAGTATTTTCATGCCCTGCGCTGAGTGATAAACCCAAGGTCTTTGTGAATGCCCAGGCTGTTCCCCATAGCTAGTTACATACTGCCCAAGGCACCAGGCAGGATAAGGAAATGCCAAGTTCAGGTCTACCTAGGTAGGCTGACCGTCAGCTTAGGCAGGGCACGGTTTCTTTATTTCACTTAGAAATATAGGAAACCTCCTAGCACCTTTAAAAGAAACCCCATATACTTGGCTTGCACTCAGTGTTTTAATGAAAATCCTCTTCAAAATGCAGATGTTCCCTGCCAGAGGGAAGCATTAACTAAAGTTTTGACCTGTCAGATTTCGGAGATGTAGCTGGCCACGTCCTGGCTAATCTTCATCAGCAATTATATTGCCTGGGGGAAAAATAAAAAATTCTGAAAAATACATTGTTCAGAAAAGTTCTGTTATCCAAAATATATCCGTGCCTCTGGGTCAGCATTTTCCAGTTTTGCTGAGAAAAGCCTCTACCAGTCTGAGTCCTTGCCAGTCTAGTGCAAACTAACTGTTGAAAGTACTGCATGACTGGATGCGAGTCTTATTTTTTTCCTTGCAGAACTATTTCTCTAGGGGGCAGTTGTGGAGCAGAAAGGCAGAAAAACAAGTGGAATAGGGATTAATTTAGGTTAGCACAAAGCTGCTTTAAAGTGGTTAGTCAATGATTATATTTTATTTCTAAATAGAAGCTGGCATCCAAGCAAATTATAAGAGGAACCAACAATTATTTCAAGAAGCATGTGGGGATAACTATTTTTTCTGTGAAGTAAAGCTGGGGTAAGAGTTAACAGTGAAAAAACCTGAAGTAGCAATGCTATACTTTTAGCAATGATTACATGCAATTAGTTAAAACAGACCAATATTAGTTTAAAAGACAGAAAAGGAAAGGAATTAATGTTAAACAGAGAGTAAAATCTGGAAAGTTTAGCAAAAGGGGTAACTATTAACAGGAGTAAATTATCTTCTATGTCTTGTAAAACCCTTGCGCATCTGCAATGCATCTGCAGCCATGGGCTCCTGAGCTGACAGAGAAACATCTTTGGTTATAGTAGCCAGACTGGGAACCAGGTCATATGCTTATTCATCAGTAAATATTTACAGGGTGAAGCCTGGCTCAGAGTGTGCTGGCTTCAGTAAAAGCATTCTCGCTGTCTTCACCAAGTTTGGAATTAAATCTGGGGCTGGGGAAAGAGGTGCTGAATGCACAGGCCTCTGCTCAGGGGGACTGTGGTCTTAGCTGGGGCATCTCAGTGAGGTAAATGTAATTGCTGAGGAACCTTTACCTATAAATCCTAGAATCATAGAATAGCTGGGGTTGGAAGGGACTTTCAAAGATTATGTTTCCAACCCCCTGCCATGGGCAGGAACACCTACCACTAGATACGGTTTCTCAAAGCCCATTCATGGCCTTGAACACTGCCAGGGATGGAGCAGCCATAGCTTCTCTGTCCCAGTGCCTCACCACCCTCACAGTGAAGAACTTCTTCCTAATATCTAATGTAAATGTCCCCTCTTTCAGCTTAAAGTCATTCACCCCTGTCCTGTCAGTATATGTCCTTGTAAAAAGTCCCTCTCCAGATTTCTTGTAGGCCCCTTTAGGTACTGAAAGGCCAAGGCCACAGTAAAGTGTCCCCAGAGCCTTCTCTTCTTCAGGCTGAACAAACCCAATTCTCTCAATCTGTCTCCGTAGGAGGGGTTCTGCAGCCCTCTGATCATCTTCATGGCCTCCTTTAGTCTTGGTCCAACAAGTCCATGTCCCTCTTGTGTTGGGGGCCCCCGAGCTGGATGCAGTACTCCAGCAGGGGTCCCATGAGAGCAGAGCGGAAGAATCACGCTTTCCCACTTGTCTCAAATCCCACTTTGTGTGTCAAAATCTGCTTTAACTTACAAAAACTATGTCTGATGTAATTTCAGTAACTTCAGCACAAAGGAATTTCCAGGTGAGATATGAGAGGCTCCGTGCTGTGGGCCTTTGTGGGCTGTTGTAAATATAGATCAACCCTGGGTCTCTCACTGTCAAAAAAGGCAGGCCACTGATGGAGGATCTCTCCCCACGCTGGTACTTCTGTGTGGTCCTTCTAGTCTCATGCATTTCTTAAGAGTTGTCTTGGGCTGTCATAGTACATACAAACACAAGGGCCTGCCAGTGTTTTGCCATTCTGCAGAGAAAGGAGAAAGCTTAACATTGGCTATTCCACTGCTTGCCATTTTGCTGATCTGTAGGTGGTTATGTTTCAGGGGAAAAGCACTGCCAACTGATCATATAGTAAAAGAAGGCTCACCACCCTCATCCCATCTCCAAACTCCAGGCTCGATCTGGTGAAGCTGGTGGCCAATTTCCACATTCTAATTCTCTGAACCAGTCGCTGGCTTGCAGCTTCTGTAGCTCTTGTTGTGTGGTAGTGGTGCCCCTTGACAGGCAATTAACCGGTTGAGAATGGCTGCAGTGTGACAGCTAACTGACTGACCATGTCGTACAGTAGGTATAGACTTACTTTTCTGTCGTTCTTGGAAGAGTCACCTGTGCTGAATTCCTGCCAGGTGGGGGACTCCCCACTTCAAGTTCCGTTTTCAGCAGTAACTGTAGAGGTGCTTTTTATACCGGAGGTGCAGAGGTGAGAACAGAGGACACTGAATTCACCTCAGGGTGCTTCGGACCCTTTCACACCCCTAGGCTCAGGGCCGCAATTCATTCCGCAGTTTGGCACAGAGTACCCGCCCTCACCCCCACATACGTTTTGTGCGCACAAGCCTGCTTTGTGCGGATGTGCATACTTATCACCGAATCACACCCAGCACAGCAACCTGCCACTCGTTCGGGCTCTGCCTTAGGCTACCTCGGTACCGCACGGACGGCCTGCAGCAGCACCTAACGGGGAGACGCCGGCATTGCAGGACAGCCTGGGCGGCCATCGCGTCTCCTGGCGAGGCGGTGCTGCATTGCGGCCGCGGCCCGCCCTGCCTGCCCCCGCCCCAGGACTCCTTTCCTCCACCGGCTTGCGGCCCCCGGGTGCAGAGAGCACGGCAAGCCGCCGACCCGGAGCTGAGGGCGGACGGCGGGGCCGGGCCGCAGTCCCAGAGAGCCCGCTCCGGCCGGGGCCAGCCCCTGCTTGCCGCCCTCCCTCTGAGGCCGTTCAGCGCTGCTGAGGCACCAGTGGCGGCTAAACGGCCCCGGTGGAAGCCGTTTGCCCGTCCTTCCTTCCCCCGCCGCCGGTGAATAATGGGTCAGGCAGCAGGAGGGAAGGGAGAGTACGTGCTCATCGGCGGTTTCGCACGTCCCTGAGAGGGCAGAGGTAATTAGGAACGACGGAGATAATTTCACAACTCCTGCAGTGCTGCTGTAGTGATGCCCTAATACTGACATGTGAAAGCTGCAGGATTATTGCAGTGGTTTTCTGACCGAGCACTATTGTTTTGTGGTAACCAGTGAAACTGCTGTTGTACAGCCTCATCTGCAGTATGTTTAGTTCTGGCATTCATGCGTTGTACAAGGCCTACTGCTAGCAGACACGCACTTTAAAACCATGATCCCTATTTTCTGTAGGTCCTAAGATACGATGCAGTCAGATTTTTTTTTTAGGCGGAATATTGTGTTCTATTACAATCATAATTACTTCTGCTAAGCAGAGCTGCTCCCTCTGTTTCAAGAGTGAAAGAAGGTAAGGAGGATTTCTAGCCAGGCATAGAAATGACCGTCTCTCTCACACACGATTTTTAAACATCACATTAAAAAAGGAAACCTCTGCTGGATAATCTACATTTGCAAACAGGGTTCCCTTCCTTTCTCACCCCCTTCTTTTTCTAAGCTCTGAAAGGATAAAGCAACCCAAGATCAAAACTTTCAGAGAGCAGCAGTCTACATTTGGGCCTGGCATTAGGAGAGATGGCTGTGGGGCTCTTTGCACAGAAGGCACTCTCAAGACAAGGACGAAGATCTAGGTAAAAGATGGTGGGAAACAAAACAATTACAAAACCCAAACAAACCTGGGAAGGTCATCAGAAAGAATCAGAGCCAACAGGTAGCTCTGGGCATTTTGCTAATGGTGGAGCAATATGGCTGTTAACATTATTGCTGCAGTCCGCAAGACGGTGGTTGAAGGTAAAGATGTTACCAATGGGTACATCTCCTGTGTCTTCAATCTCCCCAGCTAAGAAGAGCAAAAATGCTGGCACATGAGCCTGCACAATGGCTTTATTTTACCAATCTACTTTACTCCCCAGTAGTCATTTAGCAGTAGTGCAAAAGTGGCCAGAATGGACCAAAGCATCAGGCCTATCTTGCACAAAGTGTGGATTTATTAAATAGTCTATTAAATAGTCTAAAGGTCGCTCAGTCCTCTTCTCCCCTTGCTCATCACCGCTTATGGGTGCAACACTCTTAACTGATGCAGATTCTGTGGTTGCAGCTAAATGAAGAGACCTCCCCCAGACATACGTCAGGGCTGCATCTGTCCTCGGAACTGAGAAGACTATGTAAAAATAAGCTTTATTTTGAATAATTTTGTGTTGAAGCAGTGTAGGACACTGCAGTGGAACTTATTTTAGATGAAAATTGTACATCTGCAAAGATTTCTACATCATCCTGATAGTGTTCTGGCATCTCCATTTCAGCAGCTCCCTCAATGCAAAATTGGTTTTTGTGAAGAGCAAATATACATGAATGGATTGCCACCTGCAGCCCTGTTCTCAGTGAATCTGAAACCATGACTCAGTGCTCAAAGATACTGTTAGGTAATAACATACTCTCTATATATGGATATAATATAATGTGTGCTTTTGTGCTGTTGACCTTTTCTTCTCATAGTCTTCCTAAGCTGATATTCACTTATTGATTGTAAGTTCTGTGTCTCCAAAGAGAAGTTGAGATGGAGTCCCTGATTTCAGTTGCTGAGTTTCTTATTGTGGTTTCTTCATCATTTCCAACTGAGTTTGGAGCATTGGAAACAGATGTTCTTAAAAAGTTTTGCCAAAAGCAAGTGCTTGCTACAGCACAGGATGGTCTATTCAAAGCAACAAAGTCACTGTTAGGCAACTGGGAAAAAAAAACCCAAATCAACAGCAAAACCTTAGGTAGCTGTATTGGATCACAAGAATAGAAGGAAGTCTAAAACTGTGTGTCTCACCTAACTCTTCAGTTTCTCCATACTCAGAAACGTGGATGCCCCTTCACAGTGACCAAGCAGATGGACTTCCTGCTGACTGCAGGACGTAGCAGGCTCTTGTTTGCCTAGTTACAAGTTGCATAGGAGGGGAGTTTTTACTTTCTGAAATGTTAGTTTCCTGCGGTAAACTCTAGATACTCTGCATCTGTGTTAAGGCAGGGGAAGGATTTTTCTGTTACAAAGCCAGTTACCCCTAGTTCTTCCCTTTTTCTGCTTGGGGTCAGTGTCTTCCTTCTCTTCAGGATTGTTTGAGAGCTCAGTTATATGGAAGTCCATACATTCATTTAACTTCTGTTTTAGTTTTCATTGTGATCAGGGATTTAATGGATGCCGTTGGAAGCATTCAAACAGGCTTACATATTCTCTTTGCATAGATGGCGAGATATTACTGATGGGGTTCTTTCTCTACAAACCCATGGAAGAGCTCAGCTTTTCAGTGGTGGAAATTAGTCAATATGTTTGTTCTGTCTCTGAGGGTTTGAGGTACCTGGATAATGCTGAGTGCCATATCAGGAAAAAACAGGTTACAGAGATTCTCTTGCAACTTCCAGTTAAAAGCAAGGAAGAATCTTGAGGTAATTTGGAAGACAAAGCTGCACTCTGGCATATTTTTGCATGAGAAGTCTTGTGGTATCTCCAAGAATGTGAGTGCTGAGAAATGCTATTGACATCAGCGAGATGGATGCAGTGGATTTAATAAATGCTGACACAGAATATGCAATTGGAACCTGAAATTAAAGATTGAATCAATTTCTCCTAATTTAGATACCTACAGCTGAGCTAGCCTTGAACGGACCTGTCTCCACTGACTATAAAGAGTCCCTAGGGTGACTAGTAAAAGTCTATATTCTGGAATGTTCGATATTAACTAAGATTAATCTTACTTACAAAAGTCAGTCTCAGTCTTCTTACATGAGGTCAGATTATTGGCTACAGAATCAGAACTTCTCTTTTATTTGCAAAAGATACAGGAAAAGAAAGGGTTAGCAAGAAAATAAACAATTGGATAAGGCAAACAAAATGTCTTTGTTACAAATCCAAGTATCACATAAAATGGCTACCTGGGAAATGAAGCTATGGGAGAATGTGCATTAAAGGCAGTAGGGACCACTTTATCCTTTGGCTCTTCTAGACTGTTGAAAAACCCACTGACAGCTCCTAAGAAAGCAGTCTCTTGAATTAGTCTGGCCTCCTCTGGGTTTCAGGCCAGTGTGGAGTCTAAGAGAAAGACAGAATTGCCATGATGCTTAAGGAAGGGATAAACAAGTAGAATGTGGATAGTAACACAGGGAAAAGAGGACAGCATGTCAGCAGGATGAAATGTCAGGAATGTCACAACCAACCTAGTAGTAGAAAGTAATATAAAAGAAAGAAAGCTTGTGCTGAGGATAGAATAGGAAAAGATCTGGAGGATGTTTGTGAGCCAGAGGAAAAGACTGATCAATACAGTTTTGTTTTGTTTTTGTTTTTTTTTTTCCTTTTGCATGTAGGCAGAGGCCTCTGCAATGGTCTTGGAGAGAATTTCAATTGCTTCAGATGATGAGATAGGGAAAATCATACTTTCATCGAGGGAACATTGAATCCTTCCCTTTTTGCAAGATTACTGTCTTACTTTCACTGGATGCAAATTTGCTAGAAGGGGAAGCAAGATTGAGGTACCAGGCTGTGTCTGAATGTTGTGGTAGAGGAAGGTTTAAAAAGTTCCAGTGAATCAAATAATATTACAGATGCATGCTCAAATCACACTCCTGAATTCCAGGCAGTTCTATGGGGCTGCACACTGCACAAATCAGACAGCTGCACTGTAGAGGAACAGGTTGGAAACAGATTGCAAGAGTTTTATTGTTAAAAAAGGCTGAATATTGTCTGTCACTGTTCTCCAGGAATGCAAACTCTTCAGACATGAAACTAAGTGAAATTTGGCTTGGAGCTTTATTCTCTTCTCAGAGATCTGAGACTAAGAGGAGGACTATGACAAATCTTTCCACCCGTGCCTGTGATGAATTCCTCCAACTTACATACTGAAAAAGAGTAACAGAATGCTGCCTTGAATTGGCAGACCTCTTTCTTCCTACTACTCGGTCCTAGCAGAACAGGGGATATGAGTGTAGTATGGAGCAAATGCTGATTTTTCCATGCTCAAGCAGATGTAAAAATTGCTTTTCAGAAATGATGAGCATCTAGAACCCCAGCTCATTTTAAGTGTGTGGAAAGTTTGGGATAAAATGCAGTATCTACAATCACAATCACAAGGGCAAGTTAGTTAGTCAGGGTATGCTGATTTGCTGTCCGAGAAAGGCATAGTACAAATTACTTCCTCTGATGTGTGTAGCTCATTAAAGATTTATCTGTTTTGTGCTCCTAACTCAAATTGCCATGTAAAACCACTGTAACTGGGAGCAGCAGATGTTTGAAATGAAGCCCAAGTTTGAAACCAAATCTAGCTGAACTTGGCATTCAGAAAAGTCAATACACTTTAAAAAAAAAATAGATCTTTTTACACGTGGACCGTAAAGCAGCTGCAAAATCTTAACTTTCTGAACTGACCACTCTGTGGGCGTTTTCCACATAAATAAAGGATCATAAAATTTGCAAGAAAATGCACAGGTTATCTAGCTCTTCTCTTACCTGAATGCATCTTAGGCAACTGATGATGCCTCGAGTGCATGCAGTGCTTTCAAAGGTACACTGGAAAAGATCCTCCAAAAGATTGCTCGCTCTGTGTAATCCAAAACAATTTCTTCCTCAGATGACAAACAAAATAAGGCAAAGGCAATAGACCAGCAAGTCAGGTTTGCTATCACTAAGACAGAAAAGAGTTTCAAGAGAATGCCATGTGGCACATGCATCAGCACACCATAAGGCTTACCCATAAACCCTGCTTTAAAAGCATCAGTGCTTAGCCTGTGCTATTCTAGTGCTCAGAGCTGGGAAAAGAGTGTGTGTCCTCACCTGACCCCTGCTCCTGCCACACACGTCTGGCCTTCCACACAAGACCACTGCTCCTGCCACAGACATCTGGCCTTTCACACATTTCCTGAGGGGATTCAGAACAAGTTCTTTGTGCTGGGTTTTCAGAAATTGCACTGGTGGGCTGACAGGAAATTATTTTTTTGCCTATGGGGCTACAG